TTTTCGCCCCGAAATAATCATGCACACCACTAGAGGATGTGGGCAACTCTGGGAAATGATGATGTTCGTGATTATAATTCTTTGCATTTAATATAAATCCATCTATCTTTTATGTATATTATGAAGTTCCTGGGTGGCACAAGTGATTAGGTGCTGGATTTGTAATTGAAAGGTTGACAGTGTGGACCCACCCAGACACACTTAGGAAGATAAGCCTGGTGGTCGGCTTCCAAATGGTCACAGCCTGAAAACACTGTGGAGCACAGTTCTACTTTGCACACGTGGGTTGTCAGGAGTCAGAATCGACTTGATGGTAAATGGTTTGGTTTTTGGTTTAAGTATATGTGTAAATCTGTGTATGTATATATTTATATTGTGGTTGTGAAGTTCCATCGAGTTGATTCTCACTCACAGTTACCCTGGATAGGCTTTCTGAGGAGTGACTGATGGGTTTGAATCACTGACCTTATGAGTAGTATTCCAGTGCTTATCCTATAGTATCATACCAGGAAATCCATATATATAATATATATATTTATGTCTCTTTATATGTCTTAAATGCTTCCTCTCCTTTTATTTATTTATTTTTTTTGTGAGGTAAGAAAACCTACATACAGATAAATTTCCATGGTTGAGTCCATCAAATAATGAGATTATCTATTCAAGTTTCCTTGGCACTTTGTTGCTTAATCGTTGAACAAGAACAGCCTGTGGCATCCCTTTTGTCATGCCCTGAAGGTGATTTCGAGATGTTGTTTATGTTTCTACAGGAGAAACATGTCAACATGGTTCATATCGAATCCAGGAAATCCCGGCGAAGAAGTTCTGAGGTTGAAATCTTCGTGGACTGTGAGTGCGGTAAAACAGAATTCAATGAGCTCATCCAGTCGCTGAAATTTCAAACCACAATTGTGACACTGAACCCGCCAGAGAACATTTGGACAGAAGAAGAAGGCAAGGCCGGTTTTTGCTTGTCGGGTGATTTTGCAATCTGCCAAATGTTGCGAAGGGAAAAAACGCAATCTGTGAGCTAATATTTTTGAACATGCACTGTGTTTTCCACAGAGCTAGAGGATGTGCCATGGTTCCCCCGGAAGATCTCTGAGTTAGACAAATGCTCTCACAGAGTTCTCATGTATGGTTCTGAACTTGATGCCGATCACCCAGTAAGTGTCCAGTAAAATCATTCCACACATGCTCTTTGAGCTCTGCCTTATGCCAGGCGGTGTGTACCATGTTCTGTGCTGCAATGCTTTCTGGTAGAGCAATCCATTGTATATTTTCTATAGCTGAAGGCAGACTTGCAAATTATAAAGCTTCCCCGCACACATGCTTGACTAGGAACAGGTAGGAAGGATGACATTTCCACACAACATTTATTTTTACAAGGGTTGGATAGAGGAGGAGATTCTAAACCTTGGAGAATATTTCTGTAGAAGTAGACAGCCTGAAATATACTTGTAGATGGTGACCCTTGGAAATACAATGAACTGAAATTGATCACGCCCTTGGGAAACTATGGAGGAGTAGGCATTATAGGGCTTGGTGAGAGAACAAAATTCACCTTGTTATTTCCCATGACTGGAAGTAGTTAGGAGTAGAATAATGTGGTTGACTTTAGTCTCAGTGGAAAGGCAGGGGGGTTTTCGAATAAGGCCATGATGGAAGACACATCTCTTCCCACATCTACCTTGAATCTACCACCATCTCTCCTCTACTTCAATAAAAATGACTACCTTTAAAGAAATATGATATTCGGGTAAGCAGTTCCCATTATTTCCCCCCTTTACATCAGTTTTTATTTTACACAAGAGACCTGGAACTTCTTTACGGTCAGAATGAAGTACAGTTAATAGTCTAGAAGAAGTAAGCAATGTACCATTCATTATAAGCATTCCCCTCCCCCCCATCCTGGTGTTCCTTGTCTAAAAATGGACAGATGAAAGGGTGAAACTCAAGCAGCTCAGTTATGCTTCTTAGAAGACTTTGTGCTCTGAGGGTAACAATTATACATATTTACTTTAGTTAAATGGGAATCTGACAGTGTGATTGTTCTCCATGTCCACCTATTGCCACAGAGTCAATTCCCAATCACAGTGTCCCTATAGGACAGTGTAGAATCACCCCACAGTTTTAAGGCTGTAAATCTGTACCGATGCAGACTGCTTCATCCTTCTCCCACAGAGCAGCTGGATGGAGTCCAACTCCTGCCCCTTGGTTTAGCAGTTGAGCGCTTTGGCAGTGTGGTCCCAGCATAATATGGGAGCTTGTTTTTCAATTTTCTTTCATTGTTGAGAATATTCATGACAAAACATCCACTGATTCAACTGTTTCTACATGTACAACTCAGTGATACTGATTCCATTCTAGGAGTTGCGCAATCATTCTCACTCTCTTTTTCTGAATTGTTCCTTCCCTATTCGTCTAACTGGGAACTTATTTTAACAAACCCACACTGAAGTTTGACAACTGATGACAACTACAATAAGAGAGAAAACTTTAGTCACATCAGTCATTTGACATCATGTACTTTCAAATAAATAGTTAAATAGGTCTAATTCAATTGCTTTTTTTCAAAAAGCTGAATTCACTCAAAGACACAGTATATTATTTGCCAGCGTAGCCTAAAATTTTAGGATATTTTAGAGTAATCCACACGTAAGTCTCCTTAAACGAAATTAGAAAAACACTCAAAATGGCCTTTAATAATCATCCGTTTGTTAGGTTTCCTCCTTCCCCCTGCTCCCAGAGGAGTTAGAATTAGCACAGAAGCCTGATTGAAGAGATTAACACTATGAGAACTGCACAGGCACCAGCTGTTAATTTGCAGAATGACCTTGGGCAAGTCATTCTACTTTTGCACCTCAAGTTCTTTCTGTAAAAAGAGAAAATAAAATGCTTATCGACCTCAAAGGGATGTTTCAACACAGGCCTAGTTAATAAAACAACTAGAAAGCATTTTGGCAAGAGCAAATGCTTAATTTCAGGAAGTGTTGTATTAAATCACCCACACCAATGCCTGACAGTAAAGGATTTCTCTCTAACCTACTATTTCCAAATGCTCCCCTTAGCCTAGTTTGAAAATTATTCAACCTAGAGAAAGGGGGTCAGCCATTTTAATGGAATAGCCCCAGGAGCCACTGACCTTGCTGTGAAAACCAGTACAAATTTTCCTGAGCTCAACTTTAATGCATTACTCCTAATTATACCCACCTATGGAACTTCTCTGATTTTTTGTGCAGCCACTTGAAATAATTGTAAGTACTTAGCAGTACCATACTTAAGTGATTTTTTTTTAATCACACATTCTTCTTTTGTAATCACTCCAAATGTTCATTATGCAATAGTTTGATATTGGTTAGTTGATGTTTTTATACATTATTATTTGATAAGGATGGAAAGAAAGAGACGAAGTACTTTTTATGAATCGGATAGCTCAGAAAGGGTTTGGAATTTAAGAATTGAGTTGCTGATTCCCTTTGTTGTTAGCTCCTGACTTATGGTGAGTTCATGCATAACCCAGCACAACACTGCTCAGTCCTGCTCCATCCTCATGTTCTGTTGCAGACCAGTCCATTGTGACCAACAGAATTTCCATTGACTTATTTTCAGAAGTATCTGGACAGGCCTCTCCTCTTAAGTTTACTGCTGTTGTTGTTAAGTGTCCTTGAGTCTTTTCGACTCATAGTGACCCTGTATAGGGTGCTGGTGAGTTTGAAATGCTGACCTTACGGCTCAAATCAACTGTATGGTCCAGTGCTTATCCTACAGTGCCACACCAGGACTCCTAGAAAGTGTTGAAGATTTGGTCCATGCCTCACAAATTTCATGGACAAACAAATCATTTAGAGGATCTTTTTTAAAATTAAGAACATGATTCAATAGAGCCCAGGTGGGGGCCTGAGATTCTGCATTTCTAGCAAGCTCTATGTTGAGGCTTACATTGGAAGCCTGTGGATAAGACTTTGAAAAACAAGGATCTAGACTGGTAGGGTTTTTCATAGTCTGGTTTGAAGTGCTTGTTAAAATGCGATCTCTTAAGGTTCACCTGAAACTTGTTGAATCAGAATTGTTAAGGGGCATGGCCTGTAATCTACATGTTAAAGAATCTGTGGGAGATTACAATCATACACTTTCAAGTCTGAGAACTAATGTCTGAGCTCAATGATTTTCACCCCTAGTTTCCCATGGAAATCTTCTGGGTGGGGGCGCTTATCCCAGACCATTGAAATTAGAATCTCTGGGAAAGTGTCCAGGTTTGGAGTTTTATTGAAAGCTTCCCAGGTGATTCAAATATACCAGAATGTTGAGTGATTTGAGATAGTCACTGGAGTGCCATGCAAATGTAACTGAGCACTTTAGGGTGCAGGCTGGGCCATCAGTTCTTGATTTAAATGAAGGGGGCAGGGTGGTTTGTGTGGCAGATACTTACTTTGACATACGGTTGCCAGATTTTGCAAATGAACACAGATGCTCAGTTAAATTTGAATTTCAGGTAAATAATGAATAATTTTTGCCAGCGTAGCCTAAAATTTTAGGATATTTCAGAGTAATCCACAGGTAAGTCTCCTTAAACGAAATTAGAAAAACTTTCAAAATGGTCTTTAACAATCATCCATTTATTAGTACCAAATGTGTACCAAATATTGCATGGGACGTACTAATATAAAAAGGTATGGTTTATCTGAAATTCAAGTTTACCTAGGAATCATGTATTTGATCTGGCATTCCTAGGCTCTGGCTTCAACTCAGAATGGGTGGCCAATGCTGTATCTCTGTAATTGCTAGTGTTGTTGTTAAGTGCCATTGAGTTGGGTCTTGCTCATAGTGATTCTATAGGGCTTCTGAGGGGCAGCTGTGGGTTTGAACAGCTGGCATTATGGTTAGCAGTCCAGTGCTTATCCTACAGTGTCACACCACTTGCCAGTCCATGGTTCAATTCAGGAAGCTCTGGATGACCCACAACACTTATGTGTGATCACCACCTCACTAGGTTAATGAGGCATGATGAGCTAATCACTCGCCTTCATTCCTGGAAAATTGCAGCTGTTTATCAAGGAGAGATACTCCAGATTCTTTGAGAAGCCCAGCAAATTAGGATGCTGTTACCATGGTGTCTGGTTTGGCAGTACCAGGGAACAGATGCTGTGTTTTTTACGACTCTTTCCCTTTCGCTATGACCTGCTTTCTTTTTGTATAATAAATATGCTTGCAATTCTTTAGCTTTACCATCACAGGTTTTATGTTACTCTCTATCCTGGTGTGGCACTGTAGGTTAAGCACTGGACTGCTAACTGAAAGGTTGGCAGTTCAAATCCACCAGCTACTCCTCGAAAACCCGAAATAGTGTTGCTATGACAACAACAACAACAGCAAATATCACAAACACCAGTTGTCAATGAGTTGACTTCTACTCATGGTGACCTCATTTTGGGTCAAAAAAGAACTATGCTCCATAGAGTTTTCAGGAGTTGAGATTTCAGATAACTAAGCCTTTCTTCTGAGGTGCTCTGGTGGAACTTCTAACCTTTCAGTTAGCAGATGAACTTTGAACTTGTTAATGATTTGATGGATCTGGAGCTCCATCTACAGTCTACAGTAGGCATATTTGCCCTGGTGTAGGCATATTTATCCATGATCTCAGAGGTCATGGATCTGTATGTAAATGTGTTAACTATGACCACACATTTTTGTATACATACATTTTAGGATTTTAAAAGCTTGCCTGAGGGACAGGCAACGTAGACATTGGCTACCTAAAATAAGGAGGCAATAAAGGCATTAAGTGACTAGCTTACAAGGTTTCAAAAGGGAGTTTAGTTTAAGAGTGTGTGGGGTAAGATAGAGTCCCCACTGAACAGTTTTCATCTTGTCTAGATGGGTCTGGTAAGAAGAGATGGGGATAAGAGTCTTATGATTCAATAGTGAGTAATTATTATCATGACTAATTGCGACTGTCACAATTGTAAACGTAGAAGTTTTGTAACAAAAACGGGGAAGTAGTTAATCTTACAGTCCAGAAATAGAGAACCCTAGGACCATCAAGGGAGATGAGCACAAACAGAATGAGGCACCTTATCCAGAGAGGCAGAGATGCCAGAGATGGAGGCAGAGATGGGGACATGGAGAGACGTAGCAGCTGAGGACTCTAGATTCATGGGAAAAGAGGGATTGAGAGCTAGTGGCCAGGAGGCAGACTTGCAGAACATGCCCTTTGGTGGTTTAAATTATTACATATGCCTGAGTGTTTTTTTTTTTTTTAAAAGCTAAAATGAGTAGAGAGAAATACTGTTAACTGATGGTACATGGAGGGGATTATAATCATTATAATAAAACTAAGTGTATGATTTGTTGAATGTAAAACTGATGATCTGCCCTGTAAACTTTCACTCAATTCACAATAAAAACTACTTTAAAAAAACAAAACAGAACAAAATTGCAACACACCAACCCAACCACCCCCATCCCACCCCCCAAAAAAAAGCTTTCCTGAGGACTCCAGTTAAAAAATTTCTGATTCATAGCAAAGGAAGGAAAGTGCTAGCTTATAGGATATGGTTATTTTGTGTAGGATGTTAAGGTGATTAGGTGATTTCAGGGGATGCTCACTTCCCACCCCATTAGTAACTCTCTTCCCAAAGACAGGCCTTTAGTCATGCAAGTTCCTCATTTATGTCCAGATTCACAGTCCTGTGAAGATTTCTGGCTTCCAGGTCAGTTCTTCTTCAGGCACACTAGAGAATGGGTTGATTTTCTAGTGAGTTTGAGGTTCGACTTGAACAGTACATCTTCATCAGGTAGAAATGTCTTAGTTGCTGTTGTAGATCTGAACTCATTCTTCTACTCTCAGTTCCCAGAATCCATGTGACTTGTCTTCTTAGTTGGCCTTCCTTCTCAGAGTAGCACTTGCTTTCCTGGTTATCCTTTTGGGTTGCAGAGGTAAGGATGTAAATTGAAGCAATTCCTTTCTGGGCTTCCAGCAGTTTGAAGGAACAACCTTGGGAAGAATTGAATATCTAAAAGTACCTGAAGGGAAGGAAAATGGAAAGTCTGTTGAAGAGAGGAGAGATTTTTGAGTAAACCAGAAAGCCCTCTCTCTCAGAAGGATTCTACTTGACTGAAGGATCACAGACATAGTTTTTAATTTCCCAAGTGCATGGTGATGGATGAAAGTCTAAAGTTGGCTAAGAGTAATTAGAATTATAGGAATTCAGTGTAGAATGGCGTTAACATACTATCCTGTGCATGAAGCCCTTATAATTGATTTTGCATTGTGTGGCTGTAGTCATAAAATACAGCAAAACCTCTTTAATTCATGCTAATTTGGGGATTTGATCATTTTTCTGAATAATCAAATTTTAAATAAATGTGCATTAATTAATAACTTATACAAAGCAATTAAAATTAGGCTAATTTACTGAATAGCCATGTTAAATGGACCTGTTTTAAAGAATAGGATAAAATTAATTTGGGATTAAGATCCGTTACATTTAAATAATACTTGAAAATCAAAAGATATTGTTCACAATATCAATAGCCATTCTACCTACTTAGTAGAAAGGTAAACTTTAGTCAGCACACATCCCAAATATGGAGAACCCAAATTTAAGGAGGTTTTACTGTAAGCACAATTTGCTTCTGTCTGTGCCATCAAGATGTTCATCTAAGGAAAAGATTTACATTTACAAGGTTGAGTTGAACACTCAATAAACACCACATGATTTTCTTTTAGGCTTTCTGCAATGCATTTTTCTGTCTCTCGTTAAATAACTTAATCTCTTTTCTGTTTAAGGGATTTAAGGACAATGTCTATCGACAGAGAAGGAAGTATTTTGTGGATGTGGCCATGGGCTATAAATAGTAAGTATCTGTATAACTCTTTTTTTCAGACTTGTCACTGACCAGTTAGAAAAAACTCATGCTATGTTATACAGACCTGCCTTCTCTTCAGCCCAACTTTTGCAAGAGGCAGATGTAAACCATTTAAAATACTGACCAACTCCATAGACTTTAAATGTCAACCTTGAAGTTTAACATCCTGATATTATTGCTGTAAGGGTCAAGTGCTATGTTTTTACCACTGTTTTTTGCAGCTCCATTAAGGCAAAGATCCATTGTGTGCTTCACAAGACCTGGAAAATGTGTTTTAATTTTACTTTTGACTTGTTTCTTTTTGGCACCCCCTTCAATGTCCAGCTTCCCCAGTGAAAGTAGAGGATTCAGCAAGAATGGCGGATCCGCTGTGATAGAAAAGAAACGTGTTTGTTTAAAATGGAACGGGAAAGTTCCTGGAAGCTGGGGGTTTGTGGACAAGTGTCATACCCTATTATGGATCCAGGTTGAGATAAGAATGAAAGCCTTAAGGCTGGGGTGAGGACTGTGCACAATGCCCAGTGTAAGTGGCCGTCCCTAGGACTCTAGAGTGATGTGCACCTTCTGTTGACTCTGCTCACTAGTATAACTTATAGCCCAACACCAAACCCTGTCTTCTTTGTCTGCTTTGTGATCTGAGGCAGGTTTTGTCATTAGCACAAAATGTAGTAGCTGGCAGAGGAAAAGAATTCTTCTTATTCTAGTTGAGACTTAGTTGAGAAGCTTGACTACTGTGCAGAGGAAGTGTGTTTCTGGTGAGAACATTGGGCATTTCTGTGTTAGGAAGCTTATCAATGTTTGTTTTTTAAAAAGTTTAAACATATTTACTTAAGGTATGTGACACCACCACCAACAGTTGCTACTGAGTTGGCTGTGACTCATAGTGACCCTATGTGTGACAGAGTAGAACTGTACTCCACAGGGTTTTCTTTCTTTAATTTTTCATTGTGAACTGAGTGAAAGTTTACAGAACAGATCATCAACTTTACATTAAACAAATCATTTACTTTGCTTCATTACAATGATATCAATCCTCTCCATGTAGCAACAGTTAACAGTATCTTTAATCCTTCATTCCTTCCTGTGTCTTCCACAACTCCATCTTTCCTCTGCTGTTGTTGTTGTTATGTGCTGTGGAGTTGGTTCCGATTCATAGTGACCCTGTACAGGGTTTCTGAGGTTGTAAATCTTTACGGGAGCAGAACACCTCATCTTTCTCCCACGGAACAGCTGATAGTTTCAAACTGTTGACCCTGAGGTTCGCAGCCCGATTCGTAACCACTATACTACCAGAGCCTTTGATTATATATTGCCTGCCCCTTCACTCATGTTAACATGTGTCTACCCTCTAGCCTGTGAATAATTTCTCCTTCCGGTAACCATCATAGAATGTTTCTTTTATTAAGACAATCTTTTCTTAACTTTTTACAACTTTGGTCTCACACAATATTTGTTCTTTTGTAATTGACTAATTTCACTCAGCATAATGTCCTCAAGGAGTCCTGGTGTGGCGCTGTGGGCTAATGTGTCAGACTGCAAAGTCATTTGAACTGCAAGGTTGGTGGTTCAAGCTCACCAGCTGCTCCTTGGAAACCCTACACAGGGTTGCTATGGGTTGGAATCAATTCAACAGCCCTCAACAACAACAATAATGTCCTCTAGGTTCATCCATGTTGTGAGGTGTTTTGCAGATTCATCATTATTCTTCAGTGTTGTGTAGTATTCCATTGTATATATGTGCTAAAGTTCACTTAACCTTTCCTCTGTGGATGGGCATTTAGGCTGTCTCTATGTTTTTGATGTCACTCTTGTAGACAGCATCTTGAAGGATCCTCTTATCATATCCATTCTGTCCCTATGTCTCTTGACCGATGCATTTAATCCATTTACATTCAGTATAAATATCAATAGGTATAAATTGATTGTTGTCATTTTGCTGTGCAACTGTTTTTATTGTTCCACATAATTTTCTGCACTGACTTCATTTTGTTTGTGGATTTTCTTTCATTTTCATTTCTATTGTGTTGTTATTGTTGTTGTTACATGCTATCGAGTGGGTTCTGACTCAGCAACCCTGTATAGGGTTTCTGAAGAGCAGCTGGTGGTTTGAACTGCTGACCTTGTGGTTTATAGTCCAGGGCTGATCCTATAGCGCTACATCAGGAGTCCATGTTTATTAAATCTTTCTGATTTTCCTCTTTTTATTTTGATGTACCTAATTTATTTAAAATTAAAATGTATATTAATTTTCTTTGAGGTTATCCTATAATTTATTAATTTATTCTCTACTTAGAAGAGTCTGTTGTATTTTGAAATCTACTTGACTTCCTCACCATTTAGAAGTTCTGTATCTACAATATTCCCTCTTTTTGTTTTGTAGTTGATTTCATTATAAATTGATCCCTCTGGTTCCCTATCTTCAGTGTTGAAGTCTTATTTTACTTTAAATATTTCTGTAACTGGATTGAGTATTGGGTGGTGTTGTTACATACGGTAATCTCAGGTTGTTCTCTGCTGTGGTTGGTTCTCAGTCCAAAGAATACCCTTTAGCATTTTTTTTGTAAAGTCTGGTTACTACAAATTCCTTTAATTTCTGTTTATCAGGAAATGTCCCAATTTTGTCATCATATTTGAGGGACAGCTTTGCTGTCTTGTTCAGAGTTTTATAAATGTCGTCCCATTGTCTTCTTGCCTGCATGATTCCTGCTAAGAAGTCATCTTAGTCTTATTGGTTCACCTTTGTAGGTAACTTTTCATTTTTCCTGATCTCAGAATTCTTTTCTTGTCTTTGGTTTGGAAAGTTTGATTATGATATGTCTTGGTGATTTTCTTTTTGGGACCTATTCTGTTTGGGGTTTGTTCATCTTCTTATATGCTTGTCATCTCATCTTTCATGATGCTAGGGAAGTTTTATTTCAACAAGCTGTCTACAATTTTATCTGTGCTTTTAATGGCCACTTCCTGTTTGGAATTCTGATCACCTGTAAGTTGTTCCTCTCCATAGTGTCCCACATAACTCTTAGGATTTCTATGAATTTTTTCATTCTCTCTGCCCCCCACCACCATTTTGCTTCTGTTGTTGTTGTTAAGTACTGTTGAGTCATTTCTAAATCATAGCGACCCTGCATAGGATTTCAAAGGAGCAGCTTATGGGTTTGAACTGCTAGCCTTTTGGTTCAAACTAACCTTATGATTGAGTGCTTCTCCTACAGCACCACACCAGCCCTCCTAGTATACTAATATTGAGAGATTTATCTTCAAGATCAATAATTTGGGCTTTCAGTGCTTTGAATCTACTCTTTTTCCCTTTCAATGTTTTGTCCATTTCTGAAATCTTGTATTCCATCTGGTGAGGTTGATATGATGTTGTTGATTAAAGGTAAACGATGAATAAGTTGTTGGTTTTGCAAAATTCTATCATGAGATCTCCAGCATTATTTCTATCAGTACAGCGGTACTTTCCAACTACCAATTCTTCCTCTTTGTTTTTTTTTTTTTCACTACAACTTGTCTGTCCAAAAATGAGTCAGTGAAAAATCCAAAGGGTCACAACAGAATATGATGATAAAATTAGAGATGATTCTGTTATAAGGAGAACAAACCAATTCCTTGTCTAATATTGTGCTGGAAGATGAGCCCCCTAGATTGGAAAGCTACAACAAAAGACTCTAGCACATCATTAATTGTGAGCATGGCACAATGTTTTGTTCTGTTTTATACGGGGTCACAAAAGTCTGAGCCAACTTGATGGCAACTAATACCAATAGTCATTGTCCCAATTGTGTGTGTAGGAAATTGCCAAAATACAGTTAAAAGATTGCCAGTTGTCCTGAATGCTTCTTGCTAGTGGATGGAGTGAGGACGATGCCTACCTACCAGGAGTGATTAAATCTGGAATCTCTGGGAGTTGTGGAAAGTAGACACCAAAAGATTATTCCTTAATATCTCTCATGATGTCAGTGTTCTCAGACTTCTATAAGATTTTTAGGAGAATAAATTTGAGACTGGGTGGGGGTAGTCATATAGTGTCAGTACGGACTCACAGCGACCCTATGCACAACAGAACGAAACACTGCCCAATCCTGGGCCAACCTCACTACTGTTGCCACACTTGAGTCCATTGATGCTGCCACTTTGCCAATCCATCTCGCTGGGGGTCTTCCTCTTTTTCTCTGACCCTCCACCTTACCAAACATGATATCCTTCTCCAGCGACTGGTCCCTCCTGACAATATGCCCGAAGTATGAGAGATGAAGTTTGGCTGCATTTCTTCCAACACAGAGCTGTTGGTTCCTTTGGCAGCCCATGGCACTTTCAATATTCTCCTCCAACACCATAGCTCAAAAGCATCAATTCTTCTATGGTCTTCCTTATCTACTGTCCAGCTTTCACATGCATATGAGGTTATTGAAAATACCATGCTTGGGGGCTAATAAATAGGCTAGTGTTTTGAATCCACCAGAGGCACGTTGGAAGAAAAGCCTGGTAATCTATTTCCAAAAGATCATAACCATGAAAACCCTATTGAACCCAATTTCACTCGGAAACCCATGGGAATGCCATGCATTGGACTGACTTGCTAACAGCTGGTTTAAGTTTTTCTGTTTGGTGGGGGCTGGGGTACAGATACTAACAAATCCCAACTGGCCTTGTCCATTGTCTCCAGTTTACAGCATATAAAGGTGTGATTCTTAATGGAATTTGGTCTTTTTCTAGCGTTCATGGCTTCTGAGTGAGCAAAGGAGAAAGATGTCAATAAAATAATTACTTAAAATAAGCTCATTTAAGTGGCTCTTGGCAGTTGGCTATGACCTGATTTTCCAAACCAAAGCTTGGAACCACTGGCATGAGGAGCAGATTATTTGAAACTAGGCTGTTCCTAAAAAACCCAGCATGGGAGCTATCTCCAAATAGAGACTGATGATAAAAATTAGAGATGATTCTGTTACCGGGAGAACAAACCAATTCCCTGTCATAATTAGTCTGAG